CAAAAAATTAGCTGGGCATGGTGGCGCATGCCTGTAATCCCAGCTAATTTTTTGTAATTTTAGTAGAGACGGGGTTTCACCATGTTGACCAGGATGGTCTCGATCTCTTGACCTCGTGATCCACCTGCCTCGGCCTCCCAAAGTGCTGGGATTACAGGCTTGAGCCACCGCGCCCGGCCATTTTTTCACTTTTTTAGTTTCAGCAGTTTTAAGATAATGTGTCTAAAAATCACTTTTTATTTATCTATCTGGGGCTTGTGGTCGTTTGACGGTTTTGGAATGCCTTTAGTCATTATCTCTTAAAATATTGCTTCTGTCCCCATTCTCTTTCTTTTTCCTTCTGCTATTCCATTACATATTAGACCTTCCTCACTGTATCCCCTATTTATCATCTCTTCTCTTCTGCATTTTCCACTGATTTTTATCTCCATGTTTCATTCTGGGTATTTTCTTCCTATCTATTTTAAATTACTAGCTTTCTCTTTAGCTGTTTCTAATCTGCTGTGGTTGTAGCCACCAACTGAGCTCTTAATTTTGATTGCTAGAGTTTATAGTTTTCATTTGGTCTTTTTTTTTTTTTGTTTCCCATTCTCTTCTAAAATTCTCAATTTTGTCTCATCTAACAAATTAAACATTTAAAATATGTTTCTAAAAACTCCATTGTCTGGAGTCTGCCTACCGTCTACAGTTTATTTTCTTTTTTCTTAGGATTATTGTGCCTCCTATTGTGTCTTGAATTTAAATTAAGTGTTAGATACTGTACATAAAAATTCATAGAAATAATTTGAGGCCTATAAAAATGCTATATTCCCCCAAAGAGGACTTAAGGTTTGCCAACTTCTCCCAACATTTGGTGGGCCTCTGGACTCTAATTTTGGCCTCCAACACCTTTCAAGAATGCCACTCTAGCTTCTCAGCTACCTTTTCTGGAACTTGCAGAAGCTCCCAAGGAAAAAGCAACCCTGAACACCAGGTTCTCCCTTACTTCTTTCCCCAGGTCCTATACCTGTAATTCCTTAATGCCTTGTTCCTTTCTTTTCTTTTCCTTCCTTCCTTCTTCCTTTCCTTTCTTTTCTTTTTCTTCTTTGAGACAGTCTCACTCTGTTGCCCAGGCTGGAGTACAGTGGCGTGATCTTGGCTCACTGCAACCTCAGTTTCCTAGGTTCCAGTGATTCTTCTGCCTCAGCCTTCCAAGTAGCTGGGATCACAGGTACACGCTATCACACCCAGCTAATTTTTTTATTTTTAGTAGAGACAGGGTTTTGCCATGTTGGCTAGGCTTGTCTTGAACTCCTGACCTCAAGTGATCCACTTGCCTTGGCCTCCCAAAGTGCTGGGATTATAGGCATGAGCCACCGCAGCCGGCCTCCTTAACGCCTTGTGTCTTAATACTCCAGTGTCTTCAGGCAGGTTATTTTAATATTTTATTCCAGAGGAAACAATTATTCACAGCCGGAAGGTTAATCCAAATTACCCAGTCTACCCTTACCAAAAGTAGAAAAAAACCCTTCACTTTCCCCAAATAGTACATTTAAATTCTTTAGAGGAGTGCTGCTTTCTCTCCTTTTAACTTGAGTAAATGCCACGCTTGAGTTCTGTCACTGAGATGAAGCAGGGGAACAAGGGGAAAGACCTTGAATTAATTGCCTTTTAAAATACTAATCTCACTTCTGCACTTCATCATATTTGCCAACTCTGGATCTAGGGCCTCTTGTAGCCACAGTTTCTATTTCATCTAATAACGTGTCAAAAAATGTTTGAAATCTCATAGACATTGTTAAGCCGACTACTTCGTTTTCTCTGTTTACTTCTTTTTGTACTTCACATTCTATGTAGAATTATAAAGGATATGAAGAAAATGTGTTCAGCCCACCATCTTAAAGTAAGTTTCATTAAATCTTTCATTTTACTTTCTAAAATTTATCCTACAGATAGACATAAACAAATGCACAAAAATATCAGCACTATTTTAATAAAATGATGGAAATAACTCAAATATCCATGAATAGGAAGTTGTTTAAATTATGGCACAATACAGTCATTTTAAAAGATAAGCCAATATATCATAATTTAATTCCATTTTGTATGAAAATAATTTTCAAAACTACTTATGACAGTATATGCACAGAAAAAGAAATTCATGATAAACATGTAAATAAATATATTTATAACATATGCTAACTCAATACTATTTATAAGCATTATAAAGAACTATAGTTTGACTCATTAAATAATTTCATATTTGAATTTTTATATGGAAACTATTTTTACATACATAAAACAAATAATAAAACATATCAAGCCAACTAGATTACTTCTACCAGAGCTCCATGTGCTAAGAAGCCAAGCCAACATCAAAACAGGTTTATGGGAATATACATTCGTTTTACACTGAAGGCTTCATCTCCTTGGTTTGCAAAACAAACAAAACAAACAACCCAAAATAGGTCTCCATTTGAAAGTATATAAGATTAACGGGGCAAAGGCAAGCCCAGTGCTTTAAAGCATGGAACTTAGAAGAAAACAGTCCTACTTAGTGATATTAAAGTGAAATAATTCATTTATACATAAAAATAGAAGAGACGATAAAGTGACCAGAGAAAAACAGAAATGGGGTGGAGGAGCATTGAAAAGGCATAGAATACAAAGGGCAGAAGTAGAACTGATGGAAACCAAGATAAGAATGAGAGTCCAGTAGAAAGAAGCAAGCACATACTTTTTTATGTTTAAGATATGTAATGGCAATATGCTACCACTAATCTTTTTCAATTTTGATGGCCTGCGTATCTGATAATACTAATTTCATATTATGCTTAAATGAATTAAACTAGAAAATAAGCCAGTACTTATTTTCTAATTACTAATCTCTGTACTGCTAAAGAGAGCAGTATGATCTTACGCTGAAATCACCTGACATTTTTGGTCGTAAAAATTCAGTAATTTTCAGATTAAAAAACTCTATAGTCCTAAAAGAAGACTGTTCTTTATTCATTTAGGTATCTACTTTTGCAGCTGTAGATATCTAACTGTATCCACACCTATCCCCTTACAACATTTCATTCTAGAGATGCCCAGTGCCTCGACTCACACTCCTGTACTCATGACAGATGCTGATAATCAGTCATAGCACTTTGCCCCTGGGCACAGTCACTGAGCCCTCCCTTCCTTTCATACTTCTATAAGGTCATCTTCAATAAACTGGAGATGGTACATGAGATAAAACCGATTTGCCATCCTACATATCCTTAAGCAAGATGTGAATTTCATTACAATTCAAAGACTTTCCTAGTGAATAGTGTCTACATAAACAGTTTTTAAAAACACTCTGGGCTGGGCGCCATGGCTGGCCAGGTGCCATGGCTTACACCTGTAATCCCAGCACTCTGGGAGGCCAAGGTCAGTGGATGAGGTCAGGAGTTCGAGATCAGCCTGGCCAACATGGCAAAACCCCAGCTCTACTAAAAATACAAAAATTAGCTGGGTGTGGTGGTGCGTGCCTGTAATCCCAGCTACTCGGGAGGCTGAGGCAGGAGAATCACTTGAACTCAGGAGTCAGAGGCTGCAGTGAGCCGAGATCGTGCCATTGCACTCCAGCCTGGGCGACAAGAGCAAAACTCCATCTCAAAAACAAAACAAAACAAAACAGCTCTGGTAATTATCTTATGAATAAAATTGGCTCTCATTTTTTGAACACATTAGATGAATAAATTAGGATATAAACTTTGTCAAGATAACCTAAAGATGACAAAATAGATATTTCCTGACTTACTTATTCTGAAACATTTTTTATAACCTCTGTCATTACAACTCCTTTAGTCACAGGTACCAGTCTGAGCAATTCTAGACTCATACAAACTGTTCAAAGAACCTAATATACCCATTAATCCTATTCAACTGTACAGTCAACGGCATAATGAGGTCTGGGGCAATGCACTGCCGGTTTACTTAGCATATGTTCAGTATAACAAGAGTTAGTGATAGCAATGAGGATGTACTTTTTTACGTATGTATGTATCTATTCCTGTAATCATTAATTTACTGAGATAGGGTCTCTCTATCACCCAGGCTAGAGTGTAGTGGTAGAATCATAGCTCACTGCAGTCTCTGACTCTAGGCTCAAGCAATCCTTTTGCTTCAGCCTCCCAAGAAGCTGGACTACAGGCGTGGACAACCTCATGCAAATGAGGATATAAAAATAATATTTATCTGAAGGTTTTCTCCCATAGATATTTTTAAATCATTAGATATAGATGGTCTCACCATTTTAAAATTAGACAAGCAAATGAAGAAAAAAAAAAGAGAGAAACAAATTCTTACCAGTTTTTCTGCTTCTGTGTTCATTTCCCTTAATTTCTTGATATGTTCCTTTTTAATCATGAGAATTTTTGATAATCTGGTCTACAGACAAAGAAGATATATTTTAGAATAAACAGAGGCATTTAGGTATATTAGTTAAACATTAAATTTCCAATTTCTAGTAAGATATTTTAGCATAGATTTTAGTGTTTCAACATACATATAGCATAGCATTGTTTTGGGTTGTTTTTCTTCTGAGACACAGTCTAACTCTGTTGCCCAGGCTGGAGTGCAATGGCGTAATCTCAGCTCACTGCAACCTCTGCCTCCCAGTACAAGCAATTCTTGCCTCAGCCTCCCGAGTAGCAGGTATTACAGGCGCATGCAACCACCTCTGGCTAATTTTTTTGTTTTTTGAGATGGAGTCCTGCTCTGTTGCCCAGGCTGGAGAAAAATGGAGCAATCTCGGCTCACTGCAAACTCTGTCTCCCAGGCTCAAGTGATTCTCCTGCCTCAGCCTCCCAGTAGCTGTGATTATGGGCGCCCGCCACCATGCCTGGCTAATTTTTGTATTTTTAGTAGAGACGGGGTTTTGCCATGGCCAGGCTAGTCTCGAACTCCTGACCTCAAATGATCCACCTGCCCCGGCCTCCCAAAGTGCTAGGATTACAGGCATGAACCAGGGCGCCCGGCCATTTTTGTTTTAGTAGAGATGGGGTTTTACCATGTTGGCCAGGCTGGTGTTGAACTCCTGACTTCAAGTGATCTGCTCACCTTGGCCTCCCAAAGTGCTAGAATTACAGACATGAACCACTACACCTGGCCTCGTAGCACTGTATTCTATATATCTGATTAGCTGACAAGCAAATAGTATTTTAAAAATCCATTGCAACTAGAACATGTCAAAAGGACTAAGGAGTCAATCTGAACAAGCTTTCACTGGTTCAAAATTCTGTTCTTCTTAGCAGGGTCTGCTCTCAGGAAAAACTATTTAACCAGAGGCTAACATGCTAGGGTATTAGCAGAGCTAACTGACCTTCGCTGGGGAAGAGAAACACCCAACCCCAGCCCACTCTAGCCATCCTGCACCACCTAAGAGGAGGAAAAACTGAGATGCATTTGTGAAGTTCACAGTCCAGAGGCTCAGGCTGACCAAAAGACTGAAACCTACTCACAAGACTATAGAATGCTTCATCATGTCCCCCCACACCTTACCAGCATTATCATGAAAGCCTATTTACCGCAGTTCCTTTTACATAGTCTGTCATGTTTGGCAATCAAGAAAAAATTACAAGGCACACCAAGAAGGCAAAAAAGGTAGTTTGAAGAGACAAAGCAAGCATAAAAACCAGCCTCAGATATGGCAGGGATGTTGAAATTTGCAAGAACTATGAGTAATACGCTAAGGCCTCTAATGGATAAAATAGTATGCAAGAACAGATGGGCAATGCAAGCACAGAGATGAAAATTTCTCGAGCGTGAGGATACATTATTTCTTTTTCTTTTTTTTTCTTCCACAAGAGTTACCTCAGAAGAGGATATATTAATAGGAACTTCCAAAACTAAAAAGCAAAGAGAACAAAGACTGAAAAAATCAGCACAGAATGTCCAAGGACTGCGGGACAACTACAAAAGGCATACATTAAGCTTTAATGAAATACAAGGAGGAGAGAAAAAAGGAAGACATACCTGAAATATCATGAGAATTTTCCCCAAATTAATATCAGATACCAAACCAAAGCTCTAAGAAGCTCAGAGAATACCACACAGGAAAAATGCCACAAAAACCTCTACATTTACATATATCATATTCAAACTACAGAAAATCCAAGATAATGAAAAAATTCTGGCCCAGCTATGGCGGCTCACACCTCTAATCCCCGCACTTTGGGAGGCTGAGGCAGGCAGATTGCTTGAGCCCAGCAGTTCGAGACCAGCCTGGGCAACATAGCAAACCCTGTCTCCACATATTTAAAAAAAGGAAAAAAGAAAAAAAGTCCTGAAAGAAAACACTTTACTGATAGAGAAGCAAAGATAAGAATTCCATCTGACCTCTCCTCAGAAACCAGAGAAGCAAGAAGATACTGGAGTGAGATATCTTGTGTTGACAGAAAAAAAAAATCTGGCAATCTAAAACCTCTGCACCCCATGAAATTATCATTCAAAAGTAAAACAGGATTGGGCATCAAGGCTCACACCTGTAAACCTAGCACTTTGGAAGGCCAAGAGGGAGGACTGCTTAAGCTCAGAAGTTCCAGAGCAGCCTGAGAAACACAGCTAGACCTTAACTCTACAATAAAAAATAAAAATTTTTAAGTGAAAGAGAAATAAAGACTTTCTCAGGGAAAAAACTTGAGAAAATCTGTCACCAGTAGGCCTGCCTTATATGAAATGTTTTCTTTTTTAAAGATGGAATCTTGCTCTGTTGCCCAGGCTGGAGTGGAATGGCACGATCTTGGCTCCCTGCAACCTCCACCTCCTGGGTTCAAGCAGTTCTCATGCCTCAGCCTCCCAAGTAGCTGGGACTATAGGCGCATGCCACCACACCTGGCTAATTTTTGTATTTTTAGTAGAGACAGGGTTTCACCATATTGGTCAGGCTAGTGTTGAACTCCTGACCTCAAGCTATCTGCCCACCTCGGCCTCCCAAAGTGCTAGGATTACAGGTGTGAGCCACCGCACCCAGCCAGAAATGTTAAATTATGTTCTTCAGAGAAAAAGAAGATGATACATATCAGAAACTCAGATGTAAATAAAGGAAGTATATCAAAGAAAGAATAAGTTGAAGGTAAAATAAAAACTTCTATTTTCCTTATTTCCTTATTCCAACAGATAACTGTTTGTTCAAAACAATAACAGCAACGGTGTATTTGATTATGTATGATTATGTGTTATGTATGATTATGCATATGCTTATGCATGCTTAGGTATAGATAAAATAGTGAATGCAGTGATACAAAAAAAAGGGAGGGATGAATTAGGATTATTTTGTTATTACTGGGTACTAGTACTACCCATGAAGCTGTCCAGTGTTATTTGAAAGTGGATGTGGATTAGTTGTAAAAGTATATCATGTAAACTCTAGAGCAACCATTAAAGAAAGGTAACCAAAAAAGTGTAACCGACATGCTAAGACAGCAGAGAAAAATTGAATTATATAAAGTAATTAAACCATGAAAGGTAAAAAACAGAGTGGAATGTAAAAACAAGAACAAGGAATATGAGCAACAAATACAAAATAGTAATAAATATGATAGATATTAATCTAACTATGTCAATAATCACTTTGAAATCTACTTTAAGTATAAAGACACGAATAGATTAAAAGTAAATGGATGGAGGCTAGGTGTGGCGGCTCATGCCTATAATCCCAGTACTTTGGGAGACTGAGGAGGGTCCCATTGCTTGAGCCAAGGAGTTCAAGGCCAGACTAGGCTACAGTAACACCCCATGTCTATACAAAAAGATAAAAAAAATTAGCAGGCGTGGTGGCTTGTGCCTGTAGTCCCAGTTACTTGGGAGGCTGAGGTGGGAGGATTGTTTAAGCCCAGGAGGTTGAGGCTGTAGTGAGTCAAGATCATGCCACTGCACTCCAGCCTGGGCTACAGAGGAAAACCCTGTTCTCAGAAACAAAACAAAACACAACAAAAAGGGCTAGGCTCGGTGACTGACACCTGCAATCCCAGCACTTTGAGAGGCTGAGGCAGGCAGATTGCTTGCAGTCAGGAGTTCCAAACCAGCCTGGCCAACATGGTGAAACCCTGTCTCTACTGAAAATACAAATATTAGCCAGGTGTTGTAGACCACACATATAAGCCTAGCTACTCGGGAGGCTGAGGCACAAGAATTGCTAGGAGACAGAGGTTGCCTGGGCAAAAGAGCAAGACTCTGTCTCAAAAAAAAAAGAAAAAAAACAAAAACAAAAAAAAAAAAAAACAAGGGATGCCAAGGCGAGCAAATCATGAGGTCAAGAGATTGAGACCATCCTGGGTAACATGGTGAAACCCCAACTCTACTAAAAGTACAAAAATTGGCTGGGCATGGTGGCAGGCGCCTGTAATCCCAGATACTTGGGAGGCTGAGGCAGGAGAATTGCTTAAACCCTGGGAGGTGGAGGTTGCAGTGAGCCGAGATCGCGCCACTGCACTCAAGCCTGGGTGACAGAGTGAGACTCCATCTCAAAAAAAAAAAAAAAAAAAAAGTAAATGGATAAAGGATATGCCATGCTAACACTAATCAAAAGAAAGCAGGAGCAGTTATAATAATTTCAGACAAAGCAGACTCCAGAGCAAGAAAAGATGTTAGGAAGAAAAAGGAGTATTACACAACAAGAAAGGGGTCAATGTTCCAAGACATAACAATACTTAATTTTTTGTTTTTGTTTGAGACAGAGTGTTGCTCTGTTACCCAGGCTGGAGTGCAGTGGCATGATCTTGGCTCACTGCAACCTCCATCCCGGGTTCAAGCAATTCTCCTATCTCAGCTTCCTGAACTGCTGGGATTACAGGCGCCCGCCACCACACCTGGCTAATTTTTGTACTTTTAGTAGAGATGGGGTTTCACCAATGTTGGCCAGGCTGGTCTCGAACTCCTGACCTCAACTGATCTGCCTGCCTTGGCCTCCCAAAGTGCTGGGATTACAGGCATGAGCCACCGTGCCCCACCAACAATACTTAATATTTATGTACCTAACAAATGAATATCAAAACATGAGGCAAAATGATGGACAAACTATTGACAAATAGATCAATCCACCATTATAGTTGGAGATTTTAATACCTCTCTATCAGAAATAAACCAATCCAATGGGCAGAAAATCAGCAAGGACACAGTTAAACCAACAATACCATCAATTTACTGAATATAATTGACAACTATAGACTACTTCATCAAATAACTGCAGAATATACTTTCTACCAAAGGCTGTAAAGAACATTTATGATGATCTCATTCTGGGCCACAAAACACACCTTAACAAAATTAAAAGAATAGAAATCATACAATGTATGCTCTTAGACCACTACAAAACTGTACTAGAAATTAATAACAAAGAAAGCTGTAAAATCTGAAGACACATCTAAATAACACATGAGTCAAAAAAG